AGATTACTTACATTATTTCTCTATGATGTTAGAGCAACCCTTACTACTGTAAGTATATTCATTATTTTATTTGTCTTAGTGTTTGGCTCTTTCATGATATTCACAGACAACCTTGTTCTCTCAGTCGTGCACTCTTCCTGCTCAATGATCTTGTTTATCACCTTCACTCAGCTACTCATACTTATGCTATAATGAGGGATAGTGCTCTACCCCTCACGACAGTGATAACATCTGTTTGTTTATGATCTCATTCTCTTGCATTTTACTCTAAGCCCACAACCTTCTCTTTCTGCTCATGTTATTGACACCACTGCCATTTTACTCTCATTTATGTGCTGTCAATGACAATATCATTACCTTGATTGTGATCCTTCTTTTACTTTCTTGTATTCTCTTTGAAACCCTGACTAAAGGCAACAATCTTTATATTTAATGCTTGAAACTATGCATGTGGATTTAGCTGAACAAAAATGAAACTGTATTAAATTCCACCAAACCGTATCTCCATAGGATTTCTAATGCTTCCATACCACCTACTTTATTTATTACATCCTTAACTTCTCCTTCTCTTCCCCCTCCTCTCTCTCGCTCCTTCCTCTCCCTCTCTCTCTCTCTCTCTCTCTTCTTTCATAGCTGTTCCTTTCTTCTCAAACCCCTCACATTTCATCCTATAGCTAATATCTCATTCAATACTTTTGTTTTCTTCTCCAATGAGAAAATTTAAGCAATGGGAGAAAATGTCCAAAGATTCTCAAGGTCACATCTACTGATATGCCAGCTCTTGAATGTACATCATTGACCTCCTGTGACCAGAGTGGAACCCTCCATGTTGCTGGTTAATGTCACACTCTCCACTTGGCATTGGATTCTGTCCACTGTGGATTACTGCATACCATACTCTAGCCATCACTTTTTTTTTTCTCATTCTTGCCTCACATCATGAATGGTTGGATCTTTTTATTAACATTCACAAAGGAATAGAGCAGATTGCTATTCTTTAAAAAAATTCAATTCGTTTTCCCTACCATTCACCTCCCTTTACTTTGATTCCCTGTGTTTTAAAAAATAGCCTCAAAAATTATCTCTAAATTTTGCCTCCAATTTCCTCTCCACTATTCAAATTTTGGTCCACAAAAATTACTTATTAAAATTAAGTTTATATCTTATCCTTCCGGAGCATTTGACATTTCCTTCATACACTTCACCTGCTTGGTTTAAAGAGATGGTATTTTCTTGGCTTTCTCTACCTCACTGACCATTCTTTGCCAGATTCTTTACTGATTCCTTAGGTTGCAGTTCACTCACAATTTCTGTTCATTGTTGGAAACAGGCATAGAGCTCAGATATCAGGACCATCTCTTTTCACTCTTACTTGCTTAATGAAGTAATCAATTTCATGACATTATACACCATCTAAATGATAAGCATTCATAAATAACTGCAAAGCAATTGATCAAATTCCACATCCAATCATTAAAATCATAACTATTAAAGAAATTAATAACTTTTCTCCTGGGGAATGTTAGAATTATTACTATTAAACAGGAGGGTAAAACAGGTCCTGCCCAGGGCACCAGTGGGAAGGAGGGATGGCAGGGAAAGGGGGTAGGAGGGTAAAGGTAGTGCAAAAAATGCGTACACATGCATGCAATTGCAGCAATGATACCTGTTGTAACTATCCCATGAGTCTGGGTAGGGGGGATAAAGGTGAGCAGTGGAGAGGGTGAATTCAAATATGATATAGTTGACATATCATAAGAACCTTTGTAAATGCCACAATGTTCCCCACCCAGGAACAACAATAAAAAAGAAAATAGAAAGTTATCTGTCACTAGAAGATATCTGCTAACATGATTATCTATGCAATTTTGAATGTGAAGGCAGAGCTTGTGTAATAAAATCATAGAAGAAGGCATTACAACTGAAAATAACTCATACTCAGATGTATGTAAAATTAGTATCTGTTTGGGCACTGAGCTCTCATGCTGGCAATACCAGCTATTTGGAGGCCAAGATGGGAAGGATGATTGTTTCATGCTAGTTGGAGCAAAAAGTTTTGGAGACACTATCTAAACCAATAGCTGAGAGTCATAGTGAGCACCTCTCCTCTCAGCAATGCTGGGACACTTAAAATAGGAGGATTACAGTCCAGGCCAGCATGAACAAAAAGTGAGACCCTATCTCAAAATAACCAGACCAAACAGGGCTGGAGGCATGGCTCAAGCGATAGAATTCCTGCCTTGCAAGGACAAAGCCCTAAGTTCAAACCTCAGTACTGCAAATAAATAAATAAAATCAGTATCCAAATATAAAATACAAAGGAGATACAAGAAAATTAATAGAAACATGAGAATTTAGAAAAGTGGTTGGCTGTAAGATCAATATATGATACACAATTTCATTCCTACACTTAAAAATAATTTTAAAAGATACCATGTATAAGAGTAACACAGTTTTAAGGAATGTATTATAAAAATGTAATAATATTATTATATGGAAAATTACTTAACTGTATTAAAAATTAAAAATCTTAAAAATGGAGTTTCTTTTTTCACTGAGGAAGAGAATTCCATACTATAATGAGAAAAATCTATCTCTGAATAGTCCATGAAGTCAATTAAATTTTAATCAATATTCCAATAAGAATTACCATGCACAAGCTGATTATAGTATCTGTAGGGAAAAAGTAAAGGTCTGGGAATGATAAGCATCTCCTAGGATAATAAACAGCGAGTTTCCTATTGAACAACATGATTTACTACAAAACAGGACAGTGTGTTATTTACAAGCACTTGGAAAAAACAATGTTTCAGAATAGGAAGTTCTGCAGTATCTATGCTATGTACACATAAAGGCTTGATGTTTATTTGAACATCTCCCATTTATTAAGCCACAGCCACCCAGCGTTTCTTTCTCTCCATAAATAATATATTTAAAACCAGTCTTCCCTCCAGAATCTTTGTTGTCGCCATTGATTCTCTTGGCTACAAATCCTAAATATTTATTGTTTCATTATTTTCATTATTCATGCTTCAACTCAAATGTCACCTTCTCCAAGTGTTCTTTCTTATTTTTTGAAATTAAAATATTAACAAGACCTTCATTTCTGAGACTGTCTAGTCATTTTTTTCCAATCTGTTCCATTTTACATTCTGTATTGCACTTCTTTCAAGGACCTGAAATTTTTTGTTATAGGTTTTGTTATAGGTTTGTTTAGGTATCTATCTAGTTGTCGAACACCTGGACCCTAAAATGTAATAAAAGACATTTTCTGTCTGAGTTTCCAATACGTAACATATTGTCCTGTAATCAACATAGACTGAATGGATGTGATACTTTAAACCAAAGATAGGACTCACTGTCTCCAGAATGATAGTTCTGCTAACACTGCAGAATCTTAATGGGAAGACAGAAAGTCTTGGGTGAGAAATGTGGAAATTATTGATCACCATTGTGTTTGAACCCATAAGAGGAAATAAATAGTTCTCAGAAGTTTTGGGGACGGTAGGTACAAAAAGAAAAGCATCTTAACTATGGAAATCAAATTATACTAGAAGAGAAATGTAATCATAGCACTTTTCATAGTGTTATTATAGTAACACTATATACATAGTGTATAAGCGATGCTTTTAACGACAGTATCAATCACATTTTTTCATGTATTACTAATGGCATACACATAATAACTTTGACAATAAATATTGATTTAAACAAAAATTAAAATATGACTCTATGAGTCAGGTTTAGTGGCACATATCTGTAATCTCAGCTACTCAGGAGATGGAGATTAGGAGGATCACAGTCCAAGGTCAGCCTGAGCAAAAAGTTAGAAAGACCACATCTCAACAGAACAAGCTGGATATGGTGGCTCACACCTGTGATCCAAGCTACTTCAGAAGCATAGTAAGGAAGATTGCATTATGAGGTAAGTCTTGTGCAAAAATTTCAATTTCATATTTGAAAAATAACTAATGCTATAAAGAGACTAGGGTATGGCTCAAGCTGAAAAGTTCTTCCAAAGCATGAGGTCCTGAGTTCAAACCCCAGTAAAAATAAGATAGATTAGATAGATAATGACAGATAGATAGATAGATAGGACTCCACAGTGATGATAAAGAGATGGAACTGGTGAATGTAGGGCAGAGATGAATGGACTGTTAGAAAAATCCTAGCACTTTATCTTTAATAAAAAATTGGCAATAAATCATGTTTATTTTTGAAAAATAAGTAGAAGTATAAACATTTAATTTTAAATAGGTTATTTTCCAAAGAAAAGTTAAGAAAGTATTATCTATAAAAATTGTGGGTAAAGATAGAAGTGAAACAGGAGTTTCTAAAGGCCTTGTAATATTATTTGACATTTAAAACTTTATATGTGTTTATACATTAGTAATTTTAAATAATAACTATAACTAATATAACTGAATGAACATATTTAGGTAAAAGCATAGAAAATGTCTAAGAAAATACAAAAGAATCTCAAATTATGATATTTTTGAGGCGTATGTACTAATTTTCTGTTATGTACTTCAGTGTTTGAATTTTGTGTAAATAGTGATGTGTCCATCAGAAGAAACAATCCCATGCTATTGAAACAAGAAAATGCAAAAAGACATAGTACTTAATAAAATCAAAGGATATTCACCAGCATTCTACATATTCACTATCCGTTGACTGAAAACTTTTTCCCAAGTCTTCTAACTAAACAGCTGCCATGATAAATACTGCAGGTCACCATGGGACAGAAAAATAGATACACTGAAAAGTAGTCTCAGGAACAATCAAGTGCTCAATTGAGAAGTGACACCTGTAAATTCTAATATAATTCATTTTTCAGAAATAGCCACATTTGAATTTTAGAAAAAAATTAAACCTTTAGGAAACTGTAGTATTCCCCGTTGGTGTCCATACTTTCTTAATTCACCATCAATATTACATCTGTAACACACGCAAAAAAATATTTTGAGAAAGCTTGGAGACCAAAATTAAAATGATTATTTTTAAGAAAATGCTTTTCTCCTGGACAGTTCTTTGGTTAAGGCTTCTTTCACATCTTTATTTCTAAGGCTATAAACCATGGGATTCAACATGGGGATGACTGTGGTATAAAAGACAGCCACCATTTTTCCTTGTTCCACAGATTCCTTTGAGGTGGGTCTGAGATACATGAAAAAGAGAGTTGCATAGAATATGATAACAGCCGTCAGATGAGAGGCACATGTGGAAAAAGCCTTGTGCCTACCTTCTGTGGAGCGAATCCTCAGGATAGCAGGGAAAATATAAAGGTAGGAAATGAGAATGATGAACAGAGAAAAGGAAAAGTTGCATCCAGCCACAACAAGCATGGACGTTTCTTTGTTATAGGTATCTGAACAGGCCAGATTAATTAGTGGCGGATCAGCACAGTAGAAATGATTAATTTCATTGGAGCCACAGAAGGCCAGGTTGTAAGTCCACATGGTCTCCATCAGGCCGGTGAGCGCTCCATATGAGTAAGGAAACACAATGAGGGCTGTGCACGTCCTCTTGGACATTCTGCTGCTGTAAAGCAGAGGGTTGCAGATGGCCATGTATCGGTCAAAAGCCATCAGAGCCAGGATAGAGATCTCGACATGGACCAAGGCAATAAAAAAGTAACACTGAACTAGGCAAGCAGGGTAGGAGATGGTTTTCCTCTCTGAAAGGAAACTCTCCAGCATCTTTGGAGTCACATTGGAAGAGAAGCACAGATCCACAAAGGATAAATGACTCAAGAAAAAGTACATGGGGGTGTGGAGGCGAGTATTGACCTGGATGAGTAAAATCATGCCAAAATTCCCTGCCACTGTCATCATGTAAATGGCCAGAAACAACACAAAGAAGAGAACTTGTAATTCCAGGCCACTGGTCAGTCCCAGGAGAACAAATTCCGTCACTGAGGTGAAGTTTCCCCTCATAGTGGCCTTCAAGGAGAAATGAGAACTATAGATCAGCATAAACGCTCTTTTCAATAGCAACAATTCTCATATTTTCTTAGAATGTCTTATCTTTCTTCTCTGATCTTTTTAGATTTCTTTTCTATGACATTGATTAGTCTCAGGACTCTCCAGAAAGAGTGGTTAATTAAGACAAGAGCTAATTAAATATTAGCAAACACATTCCAACTGACTCTTAGATACCAATCACTGTGAGCTTCAGGTCTCTTTCTTTTCTAATTATCCTTTTCCTCTCTTTGTCTACTAAACTCTTTGGTCCATAACTGCATTCCTTAGCCATCTTCATTTCTACTTTGCTTTTTATGTTTTACTTTTTCAACTCACATCAAGTTGTAATTTGCAGATTTTGCCACTCAGTGTGAACAGACAAATGAATATTCACCATGCATTTCAATTAATTTTCCAGATAGCTTACTTAGGAGAAAAGCTATACCAGAAATTCTCTCCTGATAACATTTGTTGCTTCTAGACCATGCCAGATAAAATCTCTTAGGTTTTAAATGATGATTCCAAGTGATAAATTAAAAATGTACCTTAATTTGTCATTTATAAGATATAAAAACCAGCGTATCCTATTTTAGGATAATGCTACTTTGGAAGAAATGAATGAAAAAAGCTACAAAATTAAACAATTACAAACCTTAAAGGAAATATTTCCACATTTTTTCCATTTATTTCACAAATAGACATAAATAGTATTGCAACTATATGGAAAACAGATTTTTTTAAAAAAGACATTTAGTGAAAAAAAGAATAATTTTTGAAGTTTGAATATTAGACAAATTTACTCTTTAAATTTCCATATGTAAATTTCTTTAATTTTCACTGTGTATTCTCTAACACTTATTCCCCAGCTTCATAATACCACTCTGTTTTCTCTTCTTTCTCTTCCCCTCTCATGTCTTACCTCCACCTTGTCTTCCTTGAAATGACCTAAAACACTTCCTAATTTTGCCTCCATATGTTTTTGAACCATCATCTTTTACTGGCTCCAACTCTCAAGCTTGCCTGGATATATATCTTAACACTGTGTACACACTGAGGTGTTTTGCAAAACTAAAAGGCTTTTTTATATAGTAGGAACTTTATATAGGTGGATGGCGATTAGAACTATTTCTCTCTTCTCTCCTCTGACTATGTATACAAACAGTGAACATTATTTGTACCCACACTAAAACTGCACATACATATATATGAATGCATGCAGATACATAGATATATAGTTTTATATTATTGCAGTATGTGTGAATATGTTTTCATGATGGTTGGGGTATGGGATGCCTCACTGGCTTTTGCTTGTCTCCTCCTGGAAAATACCGGAACATCTTGTTGCACCCTTTTACGCATTCATGCACTATCCCTGCATCCCACCTTTCTTATAAAAGGTCCACTAAAGTATCTTTGTTCTCTCTAGACATTAAAAATTGTTTGGTCCTAAGTCATTTCCACCAACTGCTGCACTAAAGTGAACCTCACAAAATCAACTCAGAATTTTTGGAACTGAGCAGATTTGACTAAAAAAAAAGAAACATAACTCTGTAATTGTAGAAACCTAGTTAACTTTATGAACTTTAGATTTTTTTCTTGAAAATGCTATTGCAGCCATTTTCTTAGAGTTTCAAAAGTGATTTATGGGAAAATGATAATGTATGGAAAAAATCAGACGTTTCACTCACACAGTCATCACAGGGAATTTTAGTCTCTTCCTGTTCTTTGTTTAATCTTAAAACAAGTACAAATTCTCAGATTTTGTGCATTGGTGCTTTACATATAAATAACAGCAATCCTTTCTGTACAGTCATTTTACAGTTTCTGTTCATGCACTCATTCCTAGCATATATGTGTTTGAATTCCAAGTATTAAAAAGCAAACAAAGACAAACTAGTCAAAGCAACACTGCAGATTGCTACCAATACACACAAGATAGCCTTACCTATTATGAAGTAGGAGATTGGGGAAAAGAGAAAATTCAGTGAGGACAATTTTTGCCTATGTTTATAAGGTTGATTTCCCTACTGCATTTTTTAAAAATTAAGATGATGTCATCAATTCTATCAATTAAAAGTTTCCTGAAGACAGCTCTGGGACTTTTAACATTGGAGTCAGGGATGATTTAATTGTCTCTTCTGAGTCTCCTTCATCATTCTTGGTAATGACTTTACTCTTTGCTAGTCATAACTTACTGGGCATTTGTCTATCTTACTACCTGCATTACACAGCAGAAAGAGCTGTGTTCTATAAAACAGCACTTTGCTCACTTATTTTACTTGACCACCAATGCAGCCAGAGTGTACTCTACCAGACTGCATCGTTGTAGGAAGCACATATTCATTTCAAAATAACAGTTATTTTTGTTTGTTAACTTATTCCATATTGCTATGTTGAGAAATGTCCAAGAGCAAATGAATGAAATTGGAGAACTCTAAGGGATTCTCTTAAAATAATTTCTTTAATTCTTTATCTTCCTAAGCCATGGCATAGTTAGCATAGTTATTAGGTGTTTTTAATATATCTAGTTAGTAAAAAAAATTTCATGAACTCAACCTCTTAATTTTTCAAGTATTATGTTATTGGAAGTTCATTAAATATGTAAGGTGAATATTTTAAACCCCTTTTACATTGAAGAACTGAGCCTTAGAGATTATAAACAATTCTCCTAATATTCAAAGGCTGTTAAGTTAAGAAACAAAAGCATACATGACTAAAATCTTCTCTCTTTAGACACTAATACATATGGCTTCGCTCACCATTAGTTCATCTAATTTCATGATTAAATATTCACCAAAGAGAACAAAAAATGTCCAATTTACTCACCTTTAAAATATAATAGTGTATTACATAGTATATCCTGGATCATTTCAAGTTCAAAACCATACAAATATGTAGGCACTTTAAGACAGGAGTTTAAAGAATATAATTTTCTTTTATTTCCCAAGAGTTTAATAGAACTCAGCTTAAGATCAACAATTTTGGGGATAAAGTTAGATTTATCATCATGCAGTTTAGGACCTTGATAGTGCAGAATTGAGCAGCCCAACACCAAATCTATGTAGAAATGGGCACTATGAAGACAGTAAATCAAAAGGATCAAGTAAATGAATGAGCAACTCATGTGGTTCATCTAAATTAGTCCCTAGATGGGTGTGGAGAACTAAGAATCTTCATCAGGAACAAAAATGGCCTCAGAAGAAACACTCATTTGTTGGATAATTATGGTGGCCAGCCATGCAGTCAGTACCGACTGAATTGTTCTCTCCCCTGCACATGCTAAAACAATGACTGTAAGAGACATTATCTTCGTGTCACTGCTCAGGTTAAAAAGTGTTGGTGTTTTGTCATTGCTACGAAATTAAGTCAAAGTATATTAATAAAGTGTTCCATGTCTTATTTTTCTGATCCAGTTTTACTATTCAACCTTATCAGTTCTCACTTTCCAGTCTGTGATTGGTGTTCCAATTAAAATCAATCTATTCTTCAAACTATTGCTTCTCTATTTAAGAAATGCATTTGCTCCATTCTTGAAGCCTTGACATTCTTACTCCACTTTCATTTTTTTTCTAATTTATAAACAATATACTTTTTTTGCTCACATATATGGAAGCTGAGAAGTCCAAGATGAAAGTGCTCTATCTAGAGAGGATCTTCTTATTGCATCATAACATGGTGGAAGGCATCACATTGGTGAGAGAACATAAGAGAAAGAGAAAGAGAGAAGAAGAGAAAGAATGCTACACATCTTTCAAAATCCAGTTCAATTTTTTAGACAACTACTTAAAAGCTTTAGAGTTACTTTTAGTCCTTTCTCTGTGTTTGCAAAACACCTAAAATGCTTCAACTGTTTCTCTTACCCTAAGTTCACAAGTCCATTGTAAACCAGAGAACAATTGTGGTGAGGATTCTGCCAGCTCCCAATGATGTCTGTTGTAGCTATGCATCCACAAACTGAGGAAATTACCGCAGAGTGGGTTCATTGTGAGATGGATCTGGATTAAAACTTCACTGATCACCTGACCTCCAATAATGTCATACTCACTGAAGGGTCACAGAGGCATTTTAAGTTTCCTAGAATTAATGGCAGATGAACGTGTGTCCACTAGTCACCAAAAGTCTTTTTTTTTTTCTTTCCCAATCCTAGCTAAAAAGGCTTTAGGTCCCTATAGAGCCTGGTGATATATGACATATTTCCAAAGGGGAACTCTGTCTGTCTTCATTCAAAGGCTTCGTGTCTGTAACTGGTTCAAATCCAGAAATGACTGAAAGGCAGAAATTCTCATTTTTTATGATTCAGATTAAACTTTTCTTTATTAGAACCAGAGCTGTTCTGCCCACACAGACCAAGTAAGAATTTGGTAGGTTACATATATATTTCATTTCTAGGAAAACAATTCAATATATAGCATCGTAAGTCTACCAGGTTAAGACTATTATAATCACTGCCTTGACTCTGTTGTCCATCACAGTAACTTGTATCGACTTTGTCTATGACTACTGACACTTGGCCCCTGCTACACCAGGATTTGCTATTTATTACATTTAAGTTTTCTAATTGAACAGCTGTGAGGTCTTATCTATCCACATTGGGGTCTTATTTACCAAGAGCAGCAATTATGGATGCTGGGGCCCCCTTTACAAACTTATTTTTCAAATTATTCAGGAACAGTTTGTACACTGAACCCTCCCAGTGTGAATGAGAAGGTCTTAAATGACAAATCCATGCTAGCATTCTGCTCTTCCTAAGCCTATGAATCCCTTCCTCTATGGTAAACTAAAGGAGATCAGGCATTTCCAGCTCACTCACAGTGAGCTATCATTTCACTGATGTTTCAGTCTATCCACCAAAAATCTATTAGTACATTTCTTAATTCCCTGAACTGCAATACTATATGCCAAATCTCTGTTTAGAGATCCATGTCAATTAATTCAACCTTCATGAAATTATGATGTCTAAGAAGTCTCAATTTCTCCATCTGTGACCTGGAAAGCCCCTGGTACAACAGGGTTTTTTTTTTATTCTCAGAAGGTTGTTACTCTTTTGGATGATGCTTACTCACCCAGTGAGGAAAATCTTCTTTACTTTTTTACTGATTCAAGTGTTAATCTGTCTTATAAAATGCCTTAGTAGATACACCTAAACTCTACATTTAAGTTCATGAATAAAATTAACTATTATACTCATATTTTTGAACATTGCATTCTTCTTCTTTCTATTTATTTGGTGGCTTAAACAGTCACATGCATATAGGACATATACAATTTAATTTTACCATTGATTCCTTCAATGAGATGCCATTACTTCACCATACTTTTAATATAGGATTAAAAACAGAGAGATTTTTCTGGTTTATAGACTAGAAAGAGTCCATATTTGTTGGTACAATATAAACCTAGGAATTTTATATACTCCTAAGCACATTCTAGAGGTACAACATGGTTTATAATAAAAATATGATTTTATTTGAAAGTCCATGTAGTCACAGGAGGCTAAATACAATGATGGTCTATGGTATAGGTTCTGAAGAAAACACCTGTGATGTTAATCAAGTTTATATGAAATGGACACATTGGCAGGGGACACCACATGAATGTGAATCACCTTGGTTGTAACTGCAGATGACCGTGTAAATAGATTGCTACCTATGTCAGAAGAGACAAAAGTTTGTGTCAACAGGGGTATGATCGTGTTATACTGTTCAAATAAATCATCTATGAAACGAAACCTTTCAACGAAAATGCTCATCAGAAACTTCAAGAGTTGCTAGTCTGAGGTTGTGAGCTGCAGATGTATGCCCACATTTTTAGATAAAAAGAAATTGAACATTACTAGAAACAGACAAGATAGGCGGCAACATTGGACATTTGGTGAACTTCAGGAAGATAGATTCCTTCTCTTAAGTCCAATTTATACTGAGTATTTCCAGATGAATTTTCTATTCAAGGAAAATAAAAGCAGACTAATTATATATGAATAAATCATACACATTTATGATTATATCAGTGTGCTTTATATGTTTTGTAGAAACATTTCATGGCCTTAAAAAATTAATCTATTTATTAATCTATTTATCTGTTTATCATCTACAGTTTTTCATGGAGCAGTGACTATGTAGAAAATACTTTGAAAACTTGTTTCTGACCTTGTGGCATTTATAGTGTTACAGAGAACAAAGGCAATAACCATATCCAAAGACTTATGACTCCTTGGATTAGTGAAAAACATTCAAAGGTATAGAACACATAAATCAAAGTTCTAGATAATGATTTAAATTGAACCTTTGTTGATTTAGTGCTATGTATCAGGGACAATCTGAAAACCTTTATATGCATTGACACATATATTTTCCTATTCAAAATTTCCATGAGAAAGTACTATATCTTCAATATTTTCCTTTGGAAGAAAATGATACTGAGTCAGAAGGAGACTGTGTAATTTGTCCAATAAGTTTGATTTCTGAGTTCATACTATTAACATCAATTTAACTAATAAATAATAGAATCAGAATTTAACCACAAAACTTACTTTATTGAACAAATTGAATTTGTTTATACATTATGAAGTAAGATATTTTCTTAAAGTGAACTACATCATTTATTGTACATGAAACTGTCAAATAACTCAAATAACTGATCAAAAGCACATTTGAAAGACAAAAAAGTGTTTGTGTTATTCATTGGATGACTGTCCTTTAAGTGAAGTATGGTGGGATAAAGTTCATGGTAATGGGGAAAATATCAATAAACTTTGAAGTCAGCTAGATCTAAATGAACCTAGCTTTTCATACACATGATTTTAGGTTAATAATGAATCTATGAGTCTTGGCTTTCTCATCTTTAAAACAGGGATTACAAATGAAACAACCTATGCTATAATGGTGCTTGAATTATCATGAAAATGATTATTTCTTTATGTATGTGCATGTGTGTCTATACATTCTTCACATACCTATTGCACTCAAGACATATCTGCTATATGGGTAAAGATGTTAGACTCATAAAACTGTGTTTCCATTGAACACTTTGTAATACAAATGGATATGTTTTCTTTAAAAAAATAGCAATATAGTGATCATCTCCTACTTATGTGAGGAGAAGACTATAAAACACTTTATAATGACTGTTATTCCTTTGGGAACTATGGTTAATATCCTCAATTTTATTCTGGATTCTTCATCATATTGCCCAATTTATTCAATTGTTAAATAATTCAGCAAAATCAATCTTACAAGGAAATGAACAAGGATTTGGAGCCTCTTCCTGAAATCCCTCATGGCAGACTTCAATAAGGGAATTTAATCAGTCATTAATAAGGAAAAATTCCATGATTTAGGTAAAAATCAGAACTTACTACAAAAAATAGTTAATCTAAAAAAATTCATGAGCACTTACTTATTCTGTGTCCAGCACAGTACAATATGAAACAGGCGGCCTTGAGACAATGCTATAATTCTAGCCAGCCAGTAATTAATGAAAGCACTTGATGTAATTCCTCTTTTATCTTAAACTTGTGCGTATTTGACACAGCTATGGATTTCATGTTGCTAGAATCAGTCACAAATATAAATATCATTATGTTCACACATATTTACTTCTGAAAAGTGCTTCTGGCTTAGGACTGATAATATATTTCTTCAGAATATTTTCTTGGTCTATACAAAGACCCTTTCTTAGATTTCTTAAAATGGAGGCACTTTGCTTACTTTGAAAATAGAGATTTGTTTACTTTTTAACTCTACAATCATTACTGAACTTTTTTGTATGTAAAGTTAGGATATAAAGACAGATATATGGACCCTGAGATCTAAATACTTGAAATGATAAAGGGACTGCTTTTGCAAAACTAAATAGTTCTAAATATTTGAAATGATAAAGGGGCTATTTTTGCAAAACTAAATGTGTACGTGTGTGTGTGTGTGCGCACGCATGTGTGTGTAAGTAGTGACACACCTCAAATATGTTTATAAGAAGAATCAAGTAAACTATTTATTGAGTGTGAAAAGTGATTATAAGATGAACAAATCTGTGTAGTGCACAGTGAGATAGGGGTGGCTTCAATTCATTCGAAGTTATTTTTTCTTTTGCTCCATCATTAGCAAATCCATATTCTTATATTATAGCACATAATAAATTGTGTTGATTTTTCTCTTCATATATTCACAACTTTTTCAAAACTGTACCATTCTAACACTTCTGGGAATTTTCTTGATACAAAGAGCACAATGTGCATAATGCAGACAATCAGTAAAATTTGTTGTCAACTTTGCTTGTACTATACAACTAGAAATTCTCCAGAAATCCTACACTTCCTAAAACGTCAACTTATCATTTGCTTCATTTACTATTAAATACAAACAAGTGAACATGTTTCATACTTAATTAGATATGTAGTAACTAATCATGGCAATGAGCAGCTGTGGGTAAAATTTACACTTTTGTAAAAATATGTAGACCATCCTGACATCAGATTAACGATAAGGAAAGACATGGAATGTTTCTGGCCCAAAACTATAGAAGCCATTTTGATAATCTCTACAGCAGTAACAAGTATTTGAGAACAGCCATATGCTTTGGTAGAGCCCTTCTTGCAGGCTTCACAAGTTAACATCCAAAAATTAACTGCCTGTAGGTTCTGAGACCAGTCTCATCAACACACATGTAAAACACTGTACTGAAGCACCAGCATAATGACTGCTATAGAATTATAAGTTACTAAAAATCAGCTCATGGACTTCAACATGTGTTTTCACAATGTGTGCACATATGTAAGAATACATTTGTTGTAGATATGAAACTTTTTCTTGAAACTTAAAAAATGTTAAAAATGATAACTCTTAAAAGTGAGAATGGAAGATAAAGCTGGAGGAAAGAAATATTTTACTCTTAGTTTATACCCTTCTTTTGATTCTGGATATTTTACTATAAAATGTACAATTTTAAGAATACAAAAGTAATGTATAGATCTAGTTTCTTAATAATAATAATAATATTAACAATGTGACATGATTGCAAAACAGGACTCAGGGAAATAACCAATAGGAAGGGAAACCAGTGAGAAGGGGAAAGGGCAAGGGGGATGGTGATAGGAGGGTGAATATGATAGATGTACATTTTATATATATTCAGAATAGCATAATGAAACACACTAAACCTGTTTTTAAAAAAGAGGGATGGAGGAGGGATAAGGAAGAGTAATAGAGCAAATGTGATCAAAATATACTATGTTCATATATGGAAATATCACAATGAAACACTATGTATAACTAATTTACACTAACAAAAATGTAATGTGTAAAGATAATGTAAAATTATATGAGTAATTATTTCCCATATCTGCATATGTAACTGTCCATTCTTCACATATACATTGCATTTACATATCACATGTAGATTATAAATCTTTCTCCCTATATATTTTATGTTTCGTTGTTAGATTATACCACTTCATCATGGATATCAAATTGACTTATTGTAAATTCTATTAAAGTCAGATACAGATCTCATAAATAAATTTTTATTTCATTTTTAAAGAAAGATGCTCTATGATTTTACTTCAAATGCACATTTTTTTTCCAATCAGTTTCCTAAAAGCTTGTTTAACATCCTTGTTCCTCAGACTATAAATGATTGGATTCAACATAGGGCTTACAAAAGTGTAGAAAACAGCAATAATTTTGGACTGTTCAACTGACTTATCCGTGGGAGGTCTGACATACATGCAGAACAAGGTCCCATAAAACACAGTCACTGCCACCAGATGGGACCCACAGGTAGAAAACGCTTTCTGCCTTCCTTCAACAGAATGCATCCTCAGGATTGCAATGACAATGAACATGTAGGAGATGAGAATTATGAGGAGGGAGCTAGAGAGATTAAATCCTGCTACCACAAACATGGATGTTTCCTTAATAAAAGTGTCAGAGCAAGAGAGTCTGATGAGGGGAGGGTCAGCACAATAGAAGTGGTTAATGATATTGGAGCCACAGAAGGTCAAGTGATATGTCCACATGGTTTCCATAAGGCCACTAAAGAACCCATAGATGTATGGAGAAGCAATCAGTCGAATGCATACTCCTTTGGACATCTTGCTACTGTAAAACAAAGGGTTACAGATGGCCATGTACCTGTCATATGCCATCACAGCTAGCATATAATATTCAGTAATCACCATGGCAATGAAAAAATAGCACTGGACCAAACAAGCAGCATAGGAAATGGTTTTCTTCTCTGATACAAAATTCACCAGCATTTTAGGAGTCACATTAGTGGAATAGCACAAATCCAAGCAGGACAAACTGGCAAGAAAGAAGTACATGGGGGTGTGCAGGCGTGAGTCTACACTGATCAGTACTACCATCCCAAGGTTCCCCCCAACAGTGATGAGGTAAATCACCAGGAACAGCACAAAGAGGATGGGCTGAAGCTCTGGACGATCCGTTAATCCCAAGAGAATAAATTCAGTCACCATGGTGAAATTTCCTCTGACCATTTTCTTAGGTACCATCATGTTTGCTTTAGAGGAATTAAAATATATCTCAGATACTTTCTCTCTCTCTTATTCATCCTCTCTCATATTGTCCTCTCTCTTTCACCCTCACACAGTGTTACAGGAAAGAGTCTGAGCACGTAGGAGTTGGTTGTATTAAGAAGGACATTGTCCTCATTCAATGTGCAGATGATTCCTATAAAGAGTGGTTCTAGAGCCACCAACTTGTTTTAGAATGGGATTATTTTGAACCAAAGTGTGTCTAAAAATAGATTAAAACTCATACTGTTTCTTAAATTCACTATAAAATAATGGGTATTTTCTAAAATGTGTACCCAGGCCTAGTGCTAGACAAAATGAGGCAATGTGTATTTGGAAATATTTCTGCAGTCAGTAACACTGGTGCATATTGGGAGCCTCACCTTTGAGAACTTAATTCCTGTTCACTGTATAAGACGACACAGAGTTAGACTGATTTGAACTAAATTCTATGGCTCTGTTTTCATGTTATATCCATAAATTTAAGGAGCATATAATTCCTGTGGGACTGTACCAAAGATAAAGCTACTAATATTGGAACAGCAAAGATCTGTATGAATTGCTAAGGAAGAAATTTTCAGTTAGAGGATTTTATATATATATATAAAGCAATAAAGACATAAATAAAGGAAAGAGAAGTCATAAAATCCTAGGTGATAGCTTCATTTGCTCATCCATTGAAATAAACATTCAAGGGATTCATCGCTTATAATAAAATTTGGCAAATTTTTTTGCTGATGGTGGAACACAAATTTGATGTTAGGCTTTCTAGCAGCATGTAGAAACATTCAACTCTTTTCAAAAGAGTATCACAGTGTTCAGAATTATGAATCAAATCTAATGAAAACAGAATTATGTTTAATATTGAGTTCAGAAAATACTAATGATAATGAGGAAATTATGCTTTCAGATACTATCAGTGCAGATAATATAAGTATAATCACAAGTAAAATTGGAAATTTTCATGCTGCATTCTAGATAGCATATTTTCATTATGGATCATTAATGTTTCTTTTGCTATTTCAAAAGTGATATTGTAATCGAGGTAAAGGATCACAACCTAATTGCCTGTGTGAGCTATTTAGATAATCAGAATGAGGAAAGTGACTGACATTGCAAGAACCTTTGAATGTGCCACAATGTACTTCCACCCAGCACAACAATAAAGGAAAAATGTCAACTAAAGTGAACTAAAAAGTGCTCCAGTGCTAGTCTATCTGTAGAACAGAACTTTTCTTTATGAAAGTATGGGCTCTGTGTTGTGAGACCTGAAAGATTAATATTTTAAGTATCAGAATTCATCATTTTCATAAAATCTACCAAAACTAGGTTTGGTAATTAAAGTTTTCTTTAAACAGGGTACAAAACAGAAGTCAGTAGGCTGAATCTGCCCTGATACACGTAACTATGTCACGTAATGGCAATGTCACCAGCTGTATACTTGCACTGCGTAAGCCGTTCCTGGAAATGGAAGCAAGTACTGCAAATTATCTACTTTGGCTCTGTAATGGTGTCAGGATGCTGTATTGATTAATCACTAAATGAGATAACCTTATACACACACAGTGTTGGACACTGTGTGTATATAAGTTACTTTGCCAAGAAAATAAAGAAAGTTTTAAAAGCATTTCTCTCTTTTATTTATTCATTCATTCACATGTGCATACATTGTTTGGGTCATTTCTCCACCTTGCACCCCTCCCCATACCTCTCCCTCCATTTCTCTTGAAAGAAATGTACTTAGTCTCTCTTAGTAAGGGAGAAGAAAATTACACTTAAATAATGAATAGGTATTGTCAAGAAAGATAAGAATGGGAGGACTTTTAGCCAGTTTAAACAGTAAATACAAAGATTTTGCTCAGGAGGTTTTCAAGAGAAATGATAAGTATCCCACAGAGAAGTAGAGATGAATTTTCTATTGTGACAACCAAAATTGTGGTAGGCAGTCAAACAAATGCAAGATACCTCGCAGTGTTCACTGCACTCTGTGTGCTCTGTAGTTCCAAAGATTTCTCATATATTTTACATTTACATAAGCTGTAACAAACTTTATCTGTCATGAAGTTATCCTTGTCTAACTTCTATTCTGATATAGAATACCAAGTAATTCAAATTCAAATATTGAAAATATTACTTATTCAGTTTTCTATCAGCCATAAATATTTTGTACTTTGTATGAGAAATATCACACAGAAAAAAAAATCACAGTAAGAGAAGTCAGTCGAAATCCTTCTAAATAGAAGTTTCCTATGACACTGATGTTTAATCTGCAATTTCTGGGTAGTAGTAGATCACTAGGTAGCAATGAAATTTTCTACATCTGTAGTCCTATTGAAGCAAATGTAACAGATACAGCTCTCCATAAAGTTTCACTGGCTCAATAATATCAAGGTTTTATTTTTTCTGGATTAGAAGGATCAAAGTTATTTTAGATAATAAAGTCAACACAGATTTGTTAAATTTGATGATTTTTTATTCACAGGGATGCCTGTATCTATATATGCATATTTATTTATGTAGTATTCATTTATGTAGACAGGCTTTTGTTGTGTAGCCTAGGCTGGTCTCTCTACCTTGTGATCCTCCTGCCTCAGCCTCCTGAGTGCTGGTATTATAGGTGTGTGCCACCACGCCCTCAGCACATATGTGTAGTTATTCATAGGTATATGGTCCCAAGGAGACCACCACTGAGGAAAACCATGAATGCTTAGGATACATAGAGCTTAGTGCTCTCAAAATACTCACATTTACTTATGCCTTACATACAGTAGATCAAAGCATATGTAACTTGAAACAGCATGGATTTGGCTACATTATTATCATGAAATTTATGTTGTACATTTTAATACTGCAAAAACTTAATACTCAAAAACTGGATCTTATTTCCTGCTCTTTACTTGACTGCTGTGGATGTTGGATTAATTTTTCCTACAGTGCTGCCCAAGACATGCTTCCTTTTGACAAATCAAAATTTTACTTTATCATCTACATTGAGCACATCACATGACCGTTTTGGCTTTGGAAAATGACTATAACTTTTACCTTGTTGTTTGAGCACCATTTGCTTTTTGGTAGGGACATTTTCACAAACTTATGGGCCAAGAAACATTCAGCAGACCACACAACGATTTAAACACAACTGACAATAACCTGGGCCTGACTGAGAGGTTCTCTGCATGAATTGAGCTGAGTAATGAGTGCAAAGGAATTTAAATTTTTGGTTTTGAAATTGCTTTAGATTTCCTTCAATTGTTTTTTGACCATTACTGCAAGTAATAAATCTGCAAATAAGACGGGATAACTGTATGTATCATTTAGTAGGTTGTTTAGATTTTGTCATTGAGAGAAAAAGGTAACTAATATGGTAAATTACTAATAATGATAAATATTTAGATGAAACTCTGAGTTCCAAGAATTTCCTATCCTTCAAAAATCACAATAAACTATTATAAAGCTGGGAGCATGGCACTTGCTGAAATCTCAGCTATTCCAGAGGCCAGGACAGGAGAATCTCAAGTTCAATACTAGCCCAGGAAAATGTAGCAAGATTTTATCTCAAAAATAAATAAAAACAAAAGGGTTGGGGTCTGGTTCAAGTGGGAAAGTGCTTGCCTAGCATGCAGAATCCCTTGGTTTAATCCCCAGTACCTAACAATAATGAGCAATAATTGAAAATACAATCCACAAAATTCTCTTCTGCAAGTGTCATTGATACCTGAAGTACTACTTGTTGAAATGTACATCTTAATTCTTCAGGCTTCAGTTAATATCCAAACATCTGAGGTAGCAGGAGAGCACAGAACTGCTATAGTTAGTAACTATTTTGTGTGCATTTGTATAGAGTATTAGGTAGTCCTATAAATTAGATTGAGTGGAATCCTGGAGGAGATTGAAGCCAAGGAAATGGATAGAAAAAACAGAAGTGAGGGTTACTAATGTTTAATTTCAGTAATTAAGCCCCAAACCTACCTCAACTGAGCATTAAGACATAGAAAAGTCTATAAGAGCTACCAATAATATTATAAGGTAGGAAATGAAGACAAACATGAGTAAGTCATGTAGTTGGTGGGGCTCTGCAGCTCATGTGAATACTAATTTCTAGGAAGGAGCACTTTTTTGTGTGTGCTTTACTATAATAGTCTCCAGCACCTTCTTCCTCTTCTTGTTTTCCTTTTCAGTGACTCACAAATAAGATTACAATGTCTGACTCTAAATTCTAGGTCATGTTATGCATTACACTTTCATTCTTGACTATGTTGTCAGTAAAAATTCCTTTGATACTTCATTTAGAAAAGACATCCTATACCTTGGCATAATAACTTTCTTCCTTTGTGATTCAGAGTTCTCATATATTCAATGTCGGACTTTGAAAAATTTCAAAAGTGCCTATTATTGCTAATATTCTGATTTTTCACATATAAGTTTTCTAATCTTATACTTGTTAACAGAAATGAACCTCTTGGTTAATTTTAAATTTGCTCCCAAATCTTTGTTCTCCAATAATTGAAAGAGAGGTCTTTTAAAGTTATGTAACATTTTATTTTTGCTGGAATCAGTTAAATTCCAAATTAATTTGTATCATCTGGATTTCTAGTAAGGTGTTCTTGGGATCAGGGAATTGTTCTAAGGAACAATTATTGAATTGTTCTAAGAACAATTATTTTATTGTTCTAAGAAATATTATTCTATAACTATTAGTAAGTTGATTAACTCAAGTGTTTACTCCTAGGTGGTGATTAAATGTGTTTTCAGTACTTGAATGAATGATAAAAATTCTATTTGTAAAGTAAAATGGTTATTGTCAATGCATAATTTCAATAAAATTTCAAAAAATTTTTATGGGTCCATCTGAATAAAAAAATGCATACTGATCTATTTTAACTGGTAAGAAGCTAAACCTGCTATGGCTGTCCCCTGACTCCCACTGAAGAAGAGCCAAAACTCAACAACAGGAAAAAGTAAGAATAGAAGGCAGAATTTCCCTTCCTACCTGACCACAGGAAAGTTCC